CTTCTCCCTTCCGTAGTCTCCATTGTGCAGGAAGAGGCCACATCCCCCAAGAACCAATAGCTGTAAAGCACACATGAACACCCCAAAGCCACCCAGTGCGGGCGCGCACACTTGCGTTAAGTGGCCGGCGAGGGTTGGCGAGCGTGTGTGTGACCCGCGTGGGGTGGTGAGGGCTCCCACGGGCTGGCAAGGTCTTCCGCAGCTTGGCACCAATATGGCCTACGAGGGAGTGTGCAGAGTGGCAAGGGCAGGCCTAATTTGACCCACCTGGTCCACGATTGCTGAGCTGCTCACAGAATTAGTAGATCCTGGGCCGAAGGGGTGACAGAGCTGCCCAGAGTCCCTGGAAGAGAGACTAGAGACAGGATTAACCAGAGAGTCCTGGAGCTGACTTCCTCCCATTTCCATAGTCTCCATTTGACGAGGGCAAGCAATGCACCCAAAGAGTCAAAAGCAGGGAAAACATACAATAGAGGACCCTAAACTGACGAGAGCTGGGGTGCCCGCCTGGCAGGGGGACCAGATGAGTACGCGAGGTCACGAATAAGCCTCCTGGTCTGGGGCAAGCTCGCGTGAGCCCAGACGGGAGGGGGATCATGCCACGCCGGGAGCACGCTCAAAGAACTGGCCTGAGAATGCAAGCAATCCCAAAAAATAGTCCATCCCTGACCGAAGAGGTCACAGAGCTGCCCAAAGCAGGGGTGAGACACAGACAGTAGACTCCTGGAAGGCTCAAACAAACAACCCAAGGTTGTATAGGGTCAACAACTGACATCATCACAGGCAGGCCCAGAAAGAAAGGTAAAGGGAAAAATAAATAAAGAAATAAATAAGAAGACCCACCTACTACCATAGAAGTTTAATCCACAAAGTCAAGAAATCTAGACAGCCCAACTGAAACAAAAGCAAAAATAAATAAATAAATAAGTAAATTACTTAACAGATTTTTTCTTCCAAAAATAGGAAGAAAAAGAAGTTCCACCCAAATGAGTGGAAAAGGGGACTCCCCGCAGAGAGAACTAAATGAAATAGAGACAAGGGAACTATCAGATATGGAATTCAAAACAATGGTTCTAAGGAAGCTCAATGAGCTCAGCCAGCTCAAAAACAACTATGAGAAACTGCAGAGAAACTATTAGGATCTTACAACAACCTATATCAACCTGGAAAAGGACAAAGGAACTATCAAGAAGACACAAGAGGATATGAAGAATACCATTTCTGAATTGAAGAACACAGTAGAAGGAACCCAGAGCAGGCTGGATAAAGCCGAGGATCAAATCAGTGAGATGAAGGATAAGGTAGAAAGAAGCTCCGAGAAAGAACAAGAAATGGAAAAAAAGACTCGAAAAGAATGAAGAGGCATTTAGGGAAATGCAGGACAACCTGAAACACAATAATATCCATATAATAGGGATACCAGAAGGAGAAGAGGAGCAAGGGATAGAGAACCTCCTCGAAAAAGTAATGATGGAAAACTTCCCTAATTTGAGGAGAGAAAGGCTCCCACTGATCCATGAGGCACAGAGGACACCACTCAAGAGGGACTCAAGGAGGTCCACTCCAAGACACATCATCATTAAAATGATAACTACCAAAGAAAAAGAGAGAATCCTCAAGGCAGCAAGGGAGAAGGAGAAAGTAACATACAGGGAGCCCCGATACACCTAGGAGCTGACTGCTCAGAAGAAACACTATAAGCCAGAAGGGAATGGCAACAAATATTCCAAGCCATGAAAAGCAAGGGCCTATAGCCAAGGCTGCTCTAACCAGCAAGGTTCTCAATTAAAACAGAAGGGGAAATACGGAGTTTCCCAGACAAGATAAGGCTAAAAGAATACATCTCTACCAAACCAGCACTCCAAGATATGCTAAAGGAGCTGGTTTAAGAAGATGAAGGAAAAGAATTAGAGAGAGGAACAGAGGTACAAAGAGAAAAGATGAGTAAGATTCTATCAGTAATATCTCTCAATGTGAATGGACTAAATGTCCCAATCAAAAGACACAGGTTAGCTGAATGGATAAGAACACATGACCCACGCATATGCTACCTACAAGAGACCCACCTCAGAGCCAGAGACCTACAGAGATTGAAAGTAAAGGGATGGAAAAAAATATTCAAAACAAATGGGCAAGAGAAAAGGGCTGGGGTTGCCATACTTGTATCAGACAAAGTAGATTTCAAAACAAGGCCATAAAAAGAGACCCAGAGGGACACTTTATCATACTTAAAGGAAGAACCTATCAAGAAATCATAAACATTTTAAACTTATATGCTCCCAATATAGGAGCCACCAAGTATATGAGGAAATTGTTGGATGACTTCAAAAAAGATATAGACAGCAACACACTGATAGTAGGGGATTTCAACACCCCACTGTCAAAAATAGACAGATCTTCCAAACAAAACATCAACAAGGATATTCTGGAGCTCAATGATGCACTGAATCAAATAGACTTAACGGACATATATAAAACCTTACATCCCAAAGAAGAAAAATACACATTCCTTTCAAATGCTCATGGCAGTTTTTCAAAGATAGACCACATGATAGGACACAAAGCAAACCTCAGCAGATTCAGGAAAAATGAAATAATACCAAACATTTTCTCGGACCACAAGGGATTTAAACTAGAAATCAACCTCAAAGAGAAACTTCAAAACTTGCACACTCATGGAGATTAAACAGTAGACTATTAAACAAGGAATGGGTCAAGAATTAGATAATAGAAGAAATCAAAAAATTTCTGGAAACAAATGAAAATGAACAGACAAGAGTCCAAAACCTATGGGACACAGCAAAGACAGTCCTGAGAGGGAAGTTCATAGCAATACAGACTTACCTAAAAAAGATAGAAACATTTCAAATAAAAGACCTAACACTACAACTTCAAGAACTGGAGAAACAACAACAAATAAATCCCAGAGCAAGTAGAAGGAAGGAAATAGGCAAGATTAGAGCAGAACAGAATGACATAGAGACAAAAAGTACAATTCAGAGGATCAACCAATCCAGAAGCTGGTTCCTTGAAAAGATAAATAAAAACGACAAGCCTTTAAGCAGACTCATCAAGAAAAAAAGGGAGAAGACCCAAATTAATAATATCAGAAATGAAAGAGGAGAAATAACAGCTTATACCACAGAAATACAAAGGATTGTCAAAAACTACTATGAACAATTATATGCCAAGGAACTTGAGAATCTTGATGAAATGGACAAATATCTAGAAAGGTATAATCTTCCAATACTGAAGGAGGAAGAAACAGAAAGCTTGAAGAGACCAACAACAGCTGGAGAAATTGAAGCAGTAATCAAGAAACTCCCAGCACACAAACGCCCAGGGCCAGATGGTTTCACAGGAAAATTTTACAAAACTTTTAAGGAAGAGCTAACCCCTGTCCTTCTCAGACTATTCCAAAAAATCCAAGAGGAGGGAAGACTCCCAGACTCTTTCTATGAGGCCAGCATCACCCTGATTCCAAAACCAGATTAAGACCCTACAAAGAAAGAAAACTACAGGCCCACCTCGCTGATGAACATAGATGCTAAAATCCTCAACAAAATGTTGGTAAACTGCATCCAGCAATACATTCAAAAGATTATCCACCACTATCAAGTGGGATTCAACCCTGGCATGCAGGGATGGTTTAATATCTGCATGTCAATAAACGTGATATATTATATAAATAAAAGAAAAGACAAAAACCACATGATCATCTCAATAGGTGAAGAAAAAGCATTCAATAAGGTACAGCACCCATTTATGATCAAAACACTCAGCAAAATGGGAATAAATGGGGCATTCTTCAATGTAATAAAGGCCATATATGAAAAACCTACAGCCAACATCATACTCAACAGCCAAAAACTGAAAGCTTTCCTGCTAAGATCGGGAACACGATAAGGATGTCCGCTTTCACCGCTTCCTTTCAACGTCGTATTGGAAGTCCTAGCCACAGTGGTCAGACAAGAGAAATAGATAAAAGGCATCCAAATAGGAAAGGAGGAATTAAAACTATCATTGTTTGCAGATGACATGATAGTGTACATAGAGAACCCTGTAGACTCCACCAAAAATCTCCTCAACCTAAAAAGTGAATTTGGCAAAACAGCAGGATACAAAGCCAACATTCAGAAATCAAAGGCATTTTTGTACACCAGCAATGAAATATAAGAAGAAGAAACCAGAAAAAATATACCCTTCGATATAGTAACAAGTAAAATAAAGTGCCTAAGAATAAATTTAACCAACGAGGTAAGAGACCTATATGCAGAAATCTATACAACATTGAAGAAAGAAATGAAGGAAGACACAAATAAATGGAAGCATATACTGTGCTCATGGATTGGTAGAATTCATATCATCAAAATGTCCATACTACCCAAAGCAATTTATAGATTCAACGCAATCCCTATTAAGAAACCAATGACATACTTCACAGAAATAGAACAAACATTCCAAAAATTTATATGGAACCATAAATCACCTCGAATAGCCGCAGCAATTTTCAGAAAGAAACACAAAGTAGGAGGGATCACAATACCAGACATCAAACTGTACTACAAAACCACTATACTCAAAACAATCTGGTACTGGCACAAGAACAGACCGATAGACCAGTGGAACAGAATAGAAAGCCCAGAAATAAGCCCAGGTCTCTATGGACATCTAATATTCGACAAAGGGGGCAGAAGCATAAAATGGAGCAATAACAGCCTCTTCAACAAATGGTGTTGGGAGAGCTGGACGGCTACATGCAAAAAATTGAAATTGGATCATCAGCTGATACCATATACAAAAATAAACTCAAGATGGATAAAAGACTTAAATAGAAGTCGCAACACCTTCAAAATCCTAGAGGAGAACATTGGCAGGAAACTCTCAGGTATCCCACGCAGCAATTTTTTCACTGATATGTCTCCTAAAGCAAGAGACATAAAGGAAAGAATAAACAAGTGGGACCTCATCAAAATAAGAAACTTCTGCACGGCTAAAGAAAACATCAGCCAAATGAAAAGGGAGCCAACCCTATGGGAAAATATATTTGCTAGTGTTACATCAAATAGAGGTTTGATCGCCAAGATATATAACGAACTCATTCGACTCCACCTCAAGAAGACAAACGATCCAATCAAAAAATGGGCAAAGGACCTGGGCAGACACTTTTCCAAAGAGGAGATACAGAGGGCCCAGAAATATTTGAAATGATGCTCAGTCTCACCAGCCATCAGAGTAATGCAGATCAAAACTACCATGAGATACCACCTCACACCGTTCAGAATGACCTTCATAAACAGATCAACAAACAACAGGTGCTGGCAAGGCTGTAGAGAAAATGGAACTCTAGTCCACTGTTGGTGGAAATGCAGACTGGTGCATCCACTGTGGAAAGCAGTGTCGAATTTCCTCAAGTAGCTGAAAATGGAACTCCCTTTCAATCCAGTGATTCCCCTGCTGGGACTATACCCTGAGAACACCAAAACGCCAATACAAAAGAACCTATGCATCTCAATGTTCATAGTAGCACAATTAACATTAGCCAAGTTTTGGAAGCAACCTAAATGCTCATCAGTAGATGATTGGATCAAAAAATTATGGTACATATACACAGTGGAATTCTATGCAGCAGAAAGAAAAAAGGAACTACTAAACTTCGCGACAGCATGGATGGAACTAGAGAGAATTATGCTAAGCGAAATAAGCAAGGGGGTGAAAGACAAATACCGTATGATCTCACCTATAAGCAGAACCTAACCTACAATACAAAGATGCAAGGAAAATAAGACCAGCAACACTGAAAATAAAAGAAACCAAGAGAGACAAGAGCGAAGGATGGAGAGGGGACAGGGAAAAGGAAGGGAAGGGGAAACTCAAGGAACATATAGCAAGGACTCATGGACAAAACCAAAGGGGAAGAGCTGAGGGAGGGAAGGAGGGAAGGGGCAAGGGAAAGTGTTGAGGGATAGGCAGAGACAAATATATTTGAAAAAATATATAAATAAAATAGAGTATGAAAAAAAAACAATAGATAGGAAAGGGAGAAGCCAAAGAACTTATGTGCATGACTGATGGAGATGAACTACATCGGGTGGGAGGTTTGCTTGAGGGAAGTGGGGTACGCAGTGGATGGGGGCACAGGAAAAAAATTGGGACTATTACAACAGCATAATCAGTAAAATATACTTAATATAATAGAAACAATAAATGAATAAATGAAAGGAGACTCTGTGACATACAGGTGAGAGTATTGGCAGAAGTAATGAAGCAGAGAAAAAATTATCCTCAGAAAGAGAACATTCAATGTTAAGAGCCAAATTATTAAACAATGGTTTCGCTCTTGGTAGTCCAGAACACCAGATACAAGGATGAAGCTTAAAATTATAATTACACTGAAAGTGGTAGTATTAGAGAAATTTTATTTGGAGGGAGGAGATAGAGAATGAGATTGTGCCCTTGAGAATGATAATAGTGAAAAGAAAGAAAAAATAAGAGAGGAAAACAGCAGAATCCTGAAAAAGGAAGAAAAAAAAACTGACAACTTTTTTCTTTACTCCTACCACTCCCAACATTAGCATCATTTATTAAATAAACAACATTTTAGTAAAGAAACAGACGAGAATGTGCTTCAGGTATGAACTTTGTCCACTACATGAGTAGGAATTGGAACACACACACACAGTGGGGGAAAGGGTGAGAGACAGAGAGAATATCTTTACACAAAGCAACTGGGCAAATAAAACAGGTATATGAATAAAAATATTTCAACTGATGAAAAATCGCTATCCCCAAACAACCATAAAGAAAAAAAAAAGTAGTGCATAAATCTAAATTACAAGTAAGTATTTTGATACCAATCTCTAAAACCTTTCTTTAAACTTGTAAATTAAAACTGTAATGCAGAACTCAATTTTACAAAGGAAGAAATGCAAAGAAAGTTAAATTCAGGGAAAAAAGTCAAACTAGAGCAACAAGTATATTTTATATACTAAAAGCCACATTCAAATGAAGTCACAACAATTAGTATCTGCATGTAATATAAACTTAGACAGTAACTGCCTATTTAAAGGAGAAAGTACGGGCAATACATGGAGAAATATGCAAGATAAAAGAAATATGCAAAAACTTTAATAATGGGAAACATCAATATACCACACTCAATATAAAATATTGAGTGAAGAATGAAGAATGAAGAAGAGTGAAGAATGAAAAAGCATGAATAGGTAAGAATATAGGAAATAAAAACAACATAATTGAGTATATTTTATAGATATGTATTAAACTCTATAGTATAACAATAAACAGTGTATGTTCTTTCAAAATACTTATAGAGTATCTCAGATTTGATCAAATATGAAGACCCATATCAGGAAAACATCAGGAAGTATCATAAAGAGAAAATGGAGAAACATTTCTTAGCATCCTATATAAGATCTGGAAATTAAAAAGACAATGTAAAAAATTGAAAATTACTTTTGCCTGTAAATATTAGACAATTTTTGGAGCAAAGGAAAATTGCAGGCTTTCTAAGAATTAATAATGACAGTACTACAAATTACAATACATGAGATACATGTGAGGCAGTCACCAGAAGGAAATTCACAGTTTACAAAAATACAAAGTACTCTCTAAAAATGTTTTTATTGTTGTTCAATTACAGTTGTCCTCATTTTTCACCTATTACTCTCCCCTGCCCTATGCACCTGATATATCCCACATTCAATCCTCCCCACCCCATTGTCTTTGTCCATGGATCCTTTATACATGTTTTTAATGCTATAAAGAAACAGTGAAACAAAAAAAAATGGGGCATTCTACAAAGCAACTTATCTGGGAAACTTTAAAATAATGAATTTAATTTAAGAATAAACAGGTTTTTTAATTGAAAAGGAATTATACAAATAACCCAATGTTATGCATGAATCTGGTTGGAAACTGGTTGATGAAAACCAAAGATGGGTTCTATTTTGTGATAATTGGGGAAAATGAATAGAGAGCAGATATTAGATAATATAATGGAACTATTATTTATTTTCTTAGGTGTGATGATGATATTGTGGTTATATTGGAGAATGGTTTAATTCTTAGCAGATCCATGCTGAAATATTTATGTAGGAAGAGTAGAGTAAAATATAGCAATGTTGATTGTTGAATCTGAATGGAAAATATATGGTGGTGAATTTTTTCAACTTTTGTCTATGTTTGAATCATAATTTTTAAGTACAATAGAATTTATAAATCACAAAACTAAAAATTGTAGAAAGGAAATAAACATATGCACAGTGTAATACCATTTATGTGAGTACTTTAAGTATGCAAATATACTATACATTACTTCACACATTGATCATGTGTGATAATATCACATATCAACTTCAGGTGGTGAGTAATTCTGGAGAAGTGTATGGTGGTGATGGATGGGATTCTAGCGAGGCTTATGTTTCATTTCTGTAATAAAATATGGAGAAAAGGAACTTCAGTAAATAGGGCAAAATGTTAATCTTTGTTAAATGTAGCTTGTGGTAATTACTATTTGTTATAATGTGTTCTTTATTTTCTATGTTTAAATACTTAATAATTAAATATTTTAGCTTAAAATGTCTCCAGATAAAATATGGAAGATGGTGAATATCAAACTAATAAAATAATTATCAATAATTAAAAGGAGAGAGAGAATATGAATCTAGATGAAATAAGTATTCAAGCATTCTACATTGCTGATAACTTTCTGAATTTTTAATCAGGAAGGGAATGGAATTCATATTCTAAGAGGCTGGTACACTGCATTCTTACTACAAAAGCAATACTGTTCTTTGGATGTTTTAAAATTTTATCATGCTGAAAATGCCAACTTTGTTCACAATGAAGGCACTGCATTGATAATTTCACAAGTTTTATATAAATGGGGTTAATGCAGTTATATACAATGGTATGCTGAGGCTGGCTCACACTGGATCAATAAGGTTTATTGTGCGCATTTCAGAGAGCTGGCTCACTAGCATATCACTTCTTACATAGGAATTGAAGTGATGAGCTGGTGTTTAACAACTGCCTCTCATGGGGATAAAAGTTTTGATTTATAATGTTTCCCAGTTTCTATGGTCTACATATTCCTACCATGTCAATTTTAAGCTACTGATGTGACCTCACTAAACTTGTGGATTTGGAATAGAAGCACACAGTGAACAGTTTTTAAAAATCGTGTGTGTGTCGGTCTATGACTTTCACAACCTTCTTCCATTCACTCCCCTTGGATTTGGTGGCCTTGTGGTCTTTGAGGCACTTGGCAATGTAGTTGATATTCCTCATCAGCACTTTGTACCATGCACAGTAACTCAAAGCAACCTGCAGGTTCTCTCCCTGGTACTCCAAGTCATTCTTCTTTTATTTATTGTTGTTCAGTTACAATTATTCTGCCTTTTCCCCATCCCTATCCTGCACACTCCGCCCACTCACACAGTCAATCTCCCCCATTGTCTGTGTCCATGAGTTTGTTCATCTCATTTTTTCTGGGAAGGCCTTTGTGCCTATCTGTATTCAGATTAGACTCTGGAAGTTTGTCATAAATCTTCATAAGGTGATCCTGTTCCTTATCATGGCAGAGGCTAAAGAGACTCTCATCCATGTTGTAGACGAGCAAGATTGTAAATGTGTATTTCAGTATAACCACCTTGGCCCAATATGGCACTGGCCAGGCATTGACTCCACAGAAGTGCAGAATCATCACCATAATGATCAAGGCAGTGGAGGCTGTGATCAAGACCATCGTGGCTATGTAATAGTTTCCTATCAGAGGGATATTTTCTGAATTCAGCATGATCTCTGCCAACTTGAGCTGAAATACAGTCATAGCCAACAAGATGGTCACTCCCAAGGAGACCTTTTCCCCAGAGGCTGCAGAGAGACAAAAACTCAAGGGAGCCAGAAAAGATATGAGGATGCAAGAGATGAGGATATTGACAATATAGAAGGTGGACCTTTTCTTCAAGAGAGTGAATGTCACATCGGGATAAGACTCAAAGTGGCAATCATAGGACTTCACATTCTTCACAGCAGGCATGCCATAGATCTCCCACTCCATATCCTCAATGAAGTCAGAGAAGTCTCCACACTGTCAACACTTTTAAACCAGTTCGTGTTGACTTCAGCACACCACTAAAGTACATTTATCTCAAACTTTCCTCTCTGACTTTGTAGTGGAGCCTAGTACTACATGATGGAAACAATAGAAGAAAGAAATCTATAATTTGCGACTGTAGCGAGGAAGGGGGAAGTAAAGACAAGGTTGCTTTGATTAATTTCCTATATCTTGAATTCCTTACATAGTTTAAGGGGCGGACAAAAGTAGGTACCTGAAACAGGTTATTTTTGTATTATTATTTATTAATTATTGTGTTATTTATTTGTATTACAATTATAAACTTACTTTTTCCCACCCCTGTGTGTGTGTGTGTGTGTATAATTCTACTCTATTATTATGCAGGTATTTAGATTATGTGTTAGAATAATATTGTTCCAATTTTTCTAGGATTTGGGAGAATAAATATTATTGAGAAAAATAACTTTGAGAATGGTTAATTCTATAGTTGTAATTTTAAGTCAAACAAGTTTTGGAATTCAGGCAATGTAGCACAGATGATTGGGCTGGAAAATTTATTCTAAAAATAAACTACTCTTCCAGCTTTCTTTTTTCTAATTTTTTTAACCTTACCACATGAAAGAAAGGTTAAACACCCTTCAAAACACACAATTGGCTAATTAACAGCACATAGAAGCTGAAAATACACTACATTGTAAAGCAGGTCATTTCAAAGTGATTTTGTCTAAGAATTGCCACCCAGTGGAAGAAAATGTTATAGTTTCATGAGTCTGGAACTAGGCAATAAAATTTTAATCGGATACAATCACATAATGATTTTTTTTCGCATGAATATTTCAACCGCTAGTCTTAATATGAAAGACTACAGGTTGAATGTATATTAATTGTAGAAAAATATGCCACAATTTATTTAGAACTACTTGTAATAAAAACTGCCTATATTTCACAAGTCAATAAAAATAAAACCATTGTAGAATTATGGTCATTTTGACATATTTAAAATGCATCTCTATAAGAATACTTTTCTGTATAATATTGCCTTAGTCTCTTCAAGCTGATATAACACAATATCATAGACTTGGTAACTTATAAATGACAAATTTATTTCTCACACTTCTGGAGGATAAAAGTCCAAGATCAAGGTGCCAGCATGGTTGTATGAGAGTCCTCTTCCTGGTTGTAGACAGCTAACTTCTGGCTATGTGTTCTCATGGTGTTAAGGGGCTAGGGAACTTTGCGGGATCTCTTTTAATAGAGCACTAACATCATTCATGAACACTCTATTCTCATGATCTAATCATTCCCCAAAGACCCCTCCTTCTAATAACATTACATTGGGCATTAGGATTTTAACATACACATTTTGGGGGAACACAAACATTCAGACCATAGAGAGAATGAACAGAGATTTGTTACACTTAGTAAAAAGTTTTAAATTCCCCATAGCTCTAAATTATGCCATGGCCCTAACCAATATTAAGAATGATATTGCAGAGATAAGAATAAGGTCTACACGTATTTATAGATTCCTTAATGATATTTTCTATTTCAGTAACAAAGCCTGAATTAAAGTATACTTATGGTAATCAAAGTCCCTGAGAAATATTGTCTGCTTAGTGGAATAGAGTGGTTATCTATAGAAAGCTTTAGGGCTAATATATAAAACACTTGAACAATGTAACATTAAATATCTTATAATAAGCTTCTCATACCATACCATAAATTGAGATCTCTGGGAAGCAGACTCTGAAGCCAGATTTACCATACAGGAGGTTTAATAGTTAGTACTCTTAGAATCAACACCTATAGAAATGACAGGAACAAAGGAGGATTAGACAGAAGGGTAAATTGAGCTGTGATACAATCCCAAGTAAGGTTTCAGCTTGTCCTCCTTGGGAGCCCAAGAGCTGGGACCACCCACTAGAGCTATCGAAAATAGAAGCAATGGGGCTGGGCTTTTAAACTTTCACACTGATCATTAATTTGATAGAGTCTGGCTCAAGTAGGGAAACTTAGGTAAGGGAATTTACTTCACTTGAGGCAATCTCCAAAGAGGGCTAAGAGTTGAGGCTAAAACGAGGAGTAAGTTCATCATTACTGAAGGGGAGTCTGGGTGCAGCATCACAATCTCTACTATGTAAATCTTTGATGAAATAAGAGAAAATTCACCTTACAGAAGGATAATTTTTTTCTCAATATTTTGAGGAAGGCATGCATTGAAAATTCCATCTGCCCACATCCACTCAACTACTGTTTTCTTCTTATGTAAGCATCATTTGATTTAAACTATACATTTTTAGGAAGTAAATAATGATTCTTTTCTCTGAGCCATGTATTAAACAGTAAACACAATGTAATGGCAAAACAATGCTGATGTTATAAAAATTAATTCAGATATTGAATATTTCTACTTAGTTTCTTCTCTGTATGGCATTAACAAAATACATTACATGGTCTTTTAATATTATTTGATGTATATATGTAAATATTGACTTTTCTAACTGATTCTACAAGATAAATGATAGTCTTCCTAAACATATTGGACCTAATCAGAAAAATGCAGATCCTTAATATTTAAAAGTGTTTACTCTTGATAAATATTTACATTTTTACTGCTTCACAGTGCCAGAAGTGCAAAATTCTTCACTTGTCCATGAGATGGCTAAGCAAAGAGGAGGCACAGTACTATCAGTAGACAAACTTTATAGCAATTTGCAAAATCTAGATATACAAAATTAGATTTGTTTCTATTTTTAACCCAAAGACAAGGCAAGAATAGTGTAGCTGATGCATGTATTCTGCTGTGCTGTGATTGGGTGTCACTGCAGAAAAAAGCCCAGTGGAATAAATTAGTGTGCAATAAATAGCTTGGAAGCCCTTTCAGGATTAGAATAAGGAAGCTCTATTGCAACATGTGTTGTATGGGATAACAATGTCAGTGAATTCTCCCTCACAGAATATATATTGTATTACATATATAATGTCGAAGTTCCCTAATACCATTTGTGTGATCCTTTCGCAAAATTTTCTTTTCTAAATTTTTATCTTTTGTACTTTATTGAGGTATAAATGACATAAAATAAGCTGCACATCTCTGAAATGTACAATATGATAAGATTTTTTTAATTAAAAAAACTTTTTTATTGTTCAAATACATTTGTCTCCATTTACCCAGCACCACTTTCCCCTGCCCCACCAACCCCAAACTCCCTCCCGCAATCCTTCCCCACCTGGGCTTCATCCATGTGTCCTTCACACCTTTTCTTCGATCTGACCCTTCCTTTTCCCCTCCCCACTACCCCTTCCCTCCATCCTATCTCTGTCAGTTTCTTCTTTCTTTCAATGTTGCTAGTCATATTTTCCTTTCCTGCTTGCTTTGCTGATTAGGTTCCACTTATAGGTGAGATCTTATGGTATTTGTCTTTCACTGCCTTGCTTATTTCACTTACCATAATGCTCTCAAGTTCCATACATGCTGTCGTGAAGGGTAGTAGCTCTTTCTGTTTTTCTGCTGCATAGGATTCCATTGTGTAAATGTACCATAGTGTTTTGATCCACTCATGTACTGATGGACACTTAGGTTGCTTCCAGCACTTGGCTATTGTAAATTGTGCTCTTATGAACATTGGGGTCCATAACTGCTTTTGTATTGGTGTTTCAGGATTCTTAAGGTATAATCCCAGCAGTGAAATAGTTGAGTCAAAAGACAGTTCCATTTTTAGCTTTTTGAGGAAATTCAAATCTGTTTTCCACAGTCGCTGCACCAGTCTACATTCCCACCAACAGTGTACTAGGGCTCCTTTTTCTCCAGAGCCTCACCAGAATCTGTTTTTTATTGATGTGTTCATGGTGGCTATTCTGACCAGTGTGATGTGGTATCACCTTGTGGTTTTAATTTCCACTTCTCTGATGGCTAGTGATGCTGAGCATCCATTCATATGTCTCTGGGCCCTGTGTATGTCCTCCTTGGAGAAGAGTCTTTTCAGGTCCTTTGCCCATTTTTTATTTGGATTGTATGTCTTCCTGGAGTGGAGTCATGTGAGTTCTTTATATATTTTGGAGATCAAACCCTTCTCTAAGGTATCATTCACAAATATATTTTCCCAATACAGTTGGTTCCCTTTTCATTTGGCTGATATTTTCTATAGCCATGCAGAACCTTCTCATGCTGATGTAGTCCCATTTGTTTATTATTTTCTATATATCCCTTGCTCTACAGGACATATCAGTGAAACTATTGCTGCATGGGATATCTGAGAGTTTCTTTCCCATGTTCTCCTCTAGGACTTTTATGGCATTGTGACATATATTTAAGTCTTTTATCCATTTGAGCTTATTTTTGTGTATGGTGTCAATTGGTGGTTGAATTTCATTTTTTTTCATCTAGCTGTTCATTTCTCCCAAGACCATTTGTTGAAGGGGCTATTTTATGCTTCTCCATTTTCTGCTTCTGCCCCCTTTGTCAAATATTAATTGACCACAGAGACATGGGTTTATTTCTGGGCTCTCTATTCTGTTCCATTGATCTATGTGTCTGTTTTCATGTCAGTACCAGACTGTTTTGATAATGGTGGACTTGTGAAATAGTTTGATGTCAGGTATTGTGTTCCTTCCTGCTTTGTTCTTCTTTCTCATAATTGCTGTGGCTATTTGGGTTCATTTATGGTTCCATATAAATTTTTTAAAATGTTTGTTGTATGTCTCTGAAATATAATATTGGGATTTTAATAGGGATTGCGTTGAATCTATAAATTGCTTTGGGTAGTATGGGCATTTCGATGATGTTAATTCTTCCAATCCATTAATATGGTATATGCTTCCATTTATTTGTGTCTTCCTTAATTTCTATCTTCAGTGTTATATAGTTTCCTGCTTAGAGGACTTTTACCTCCTTGGTTAAGTTTCTTTCTAGGTAATTTATTTTTCTGATTGCTATAGCAAATGTAATTTTTTTCCTGATTTCTGCTTCAGATATTTCATTGTTGGTGTACAAAAGTGCTTTTGATTTCTGA